ACTAATACCACAGACTTATAAGGCTTTTTCAAAGCTGCAAAAGAACCTATTTGCTGATACGAAGAGTAACTGGGTTTTGATTAATCTTCTGAGATAACATTGTTTGCAGGGACTCTCCTTTCGTATTAAAGTGTAGAAAAATAGGCAAGAACTACCTATAACTTTAATAGAATTAGAGATAGAGAGAGAGAACAGTAAGAGCCACCGTGTTGGTCCATAAAGTGAGTGTGCGCGAGTATAGTGAGAAATGGCTGATGGAATGCCTGACTATGGAGGCTACCAACCAACGTAGACATGCACAACTAACTAAAAACTTAAAATAAAATGGAATTGTCAGCTTGACGTGATTTAAGTGACGAAGGGAAGTGTTACATCTTCAACCAAGCAGTGCGGAAATAAGCCAAACACAGGGCCCTAGAGAATGAGAGAAAATGAAGTAGAGATGAGAAATAGGCTAACTGAGTCATGGGTCAGAAACCTAAGCCTGAGAGCCGCCAGTCTTAATCCTCGAATATAGCCTAAACGGGGACCGGAATCGAATGCTCATAGACAAATAGATTGTGAATTTCATATATAGCAAGGACAAAGTTACAAATGAAGTGGGGTTGAGAGAAGCTGGGACAAAAAATTGAAGCAGGGAGTGATGTCACAAGAGTTAACAGTAAATTGATCAAGAGGATTGCCTCCACTTGTCGCTTAATAAACTCTGTGCTAAGAATAGCGTCCCTCACTGACGAGACCGACTAAGATCCCGTCTGGGAATGTATCTAGTAAAAGGTCTGATGATAGAAATTATCATAAATACTGTGATTGAGGATGTAGAACTAGATAAATTCCACAAGGACTCCTTGTCAATCCAATCAAGTTTTTAAAATCAGGCCAAAGCAACACCATACAACTAAAGCATACCGCGACCAAACCATCTTAGTATTCAAATCTGCATACAATTTAGACGCAGAGAAGATAAATATATCTGGAAAAATTAAACGAAAATAAAGGAGTACACATGCTGAAATTGAGATAAAGATTATTAAATTCTGCCCGAAGCCTTCATTTACATGTGAAAGTTAAATCATTGTTAGATAAAAAAATATGCACAATAATTATATTCAAGACGACTTAGCTTAGGTAAAGATGAACATACATTCACAAAGCCGAATGCAAAGGACAGTAAGAAGATAAATAATTTAGTTTTATGCAAGAATGCTTCGAAAAATAGATTAGCGATCAAGAACATAATACATGAGATAGTATCGAAAATTTTATTCATGCAAATGACTACGTTTTCTCATTTTGTCAGGAAGACAGTGTAAGATCAAAGGGACTGCACCATAGAAAGCACAGGCACCTCGATAATCATGTCTGAGATGTTACATAGATAAGACTTATATAAAAAGTCAGATCTCCACAATAGGTTTTAACACAGCCAAGTTTTGTAAAAGTCGAAATAGACAAAGGCCAAGGAAAATAGAGTTGGAAGTGAATCAGAAGTAATAAGAGAACGGGCAACCACATAGAAGCTGCAAGGCTAAAAAAAACCTTTGTAAATTAAGGGTCTAGAATAAATTTCTTCCAAAAAATCCTAAAAATAAAGAATAAGAAATTCGAAGATAATATTTACAAATATATTAATGATATGCCCTAGAGGCATATGATATGAACATAGAAGTCTGGGAATGAATGAAGAAACATAAGGAAGGGATAGAAATATAATACTGTCTAAATTAATAGAGGAATGACAAGGCACCAAGGTCTAGGAGAAAGTCATCAAATGAAAATGCAAAATAATCATCATTTATACTATTAATGCTTGAAGTAAGAAAGGTAATACTATTTTTAAAAACGAACTAAAATCAACTATGATAAAAATCAAGAATGGGAAGAATTTGAAAGAATGAGAAACAGACAAGGCATGCGCTATGAAAAATGTATGAGGCCAGCAAATAAAATGAGAAAAGCAAAGTAAATGTTACAAAACGACTCTATTTTAAGTGAATTAATGTATGATTAATAATCGCAAATATAAGTGATTTGTATGAATTGCATAGGCAAGTGAGCCGACTGTCAAGATTGAAGATTTTTTACTAACTTATCTGTAAACATAATACACAGATATATTAAAGATCTAATACAAAAGAAATATGATAGAGGAATGAAAGGATATACAATGGCACAATCGATTATAAATGCTTATTCACAAATAATCATATATCTAGAAATAATAAAGATAAAAAATCCCAACAATGGAGCACAACGTCGATTAATTAAACACAAAGCGATCAAAAATTTATCATAACTTCTAAAAAGGCAAATAAATACGGGTATAATTTAAATGTTGTGGTACGACAAAGGGAAGAAAGACATTATTTAAATATCATATATGAAAGAGAAGCTATCTGGCATTTTTGAAGAAACTTAGTGAATCGAAAAATCGAAGACTGACTATGGCGTATGATCATATAAATTGATATAAATACAGCAATCAAAGGTGTAAAGAACAAGATGCTGTGGCCTTTAGTATGGTCGCATTCTTCCTTCGTTATATAGGAGTATTTTGACCTCGTTTTTCCAACTTCCTCGTCATGTCAGAGAGACCTAAATAAAGCAGCCTTTTGAGTACTATGCCAGAGTATGCATGACATTTTTCAGCATTGGACCATAAAGTTGAAAGATTCCCAAACATTTTGCCGGCATCATTAGTGAGCCCTATCAGGTTTGACACCATACTGCAAGTCGTCAAAGAGCTATGTCAGGTCTGGCCTCTGGCCAACTGTATGCTTAAAAGTTATGATATCTCTCCTATCCTAGCACGTTCATGTATCCCATATTTTCATATCACTGCATTCATCATCAAAATTTTTAACTTTCTTATTTTATCCGAGTTCGGGTGTGTTATAATGAGCGGATTTTGGGTCCTATTCATATCCCCCTTTGATTCCCTCATATTCATCATTTTCCTGGAAATTTTGAGGATTAAACGGCCAAATAGAATTAACAACTCGAGCATAATCTAAAGAGAAAGGAATATTAATAGGCCTCACCGGGTCCGTTAAAAAGGACATACCTTGGCTAGGCTAAAATAAGCAGGATAGAAATTGTGATAGTGATAATGATAGTAGGATATATGAAAATATAGGATAGATGAATGAAACAGGTCAAAATCAGAGAAGCCACAACTGTTCAGCCGACACTTAGTGAAAGGATAGGCCTTATTTATCTCGTTGAACTGTTGTAGTGTTGTGTAGACTAGCAAAGCCCACTGATGAAACAGAAGCGTCTGTGAAGACACTAACTCCATTGTCAGACGCTGGAAATTATCATGGCAAATGACTTTGAAAAAAAGTAGGTTCATTTAAGTAACTCTGACAATACGAGAAAATGTTGAAAACTAGGTTAAACCACTTAAAGTCAAGCAAATTGAAAGTAACAGTTAAAAACAATTAGGTTGTTTGAAAATCACTGGTTTGGAGTCCGTCGCTTGAATATGGTTGTCTGTTGCTCCCAAATTCGACAATGCTTTGCAATGTCTCCTTGGATGCCAAATCTGGAGGTCTTTGTGGATAACGAGACCTGGATATAAAAAAATATATATCGGTAAAATCTAATCATGGATAAAATATTAAAGCAAAATACAAATTTCAGCAGCCTTCAAGACCCAAAAGCTAAAACAGGGTATCCTTTTTTTTGAAAATGCTAAGCAAGATTTCTATATTTGTCTTTATAATTTTGCTTGATAATTCATAAATAAGTATTATAATCAGATATGCTGAACAAATGAGATTAAATATCAATATAGGTACAAAATGTGTTCACTCTATCTCGTTTAAGGCGATGAAGGACTGGTAGTTGAATTTCCCGACAATGATATAGATAGACTTCATGTTTCCATTGAATTTCACATAGTCTTGCTTCCCAAAAGATATTCTCATTCAGAGTGGACTAAAAATTCAACATCGGCTAGGTCTTACCATTGTTGGGGGGACTTTCATTTCGTATGAAAGTGTATAAAGAAGAAATTAGTAGATCGATCTCACCACAAGAGGACGGATGAATCTCGTTGTACTGCAGCTGTTTGGCTTTTCTACGACGTTCAGTCAAACGACTGCAGTACAACGTGATTAATCCGTCCTCTTCTGGTGAGATCGAACTACGAACCAATTCCTCATGCACTTTCATACGCAATGAAGGTCCTCCCTAACAATTTTATATCAGGAGATTAATCAAAAACCCAGTTTCTCTTAGGTCTTACCAGCACCCACATGGAAACTCGAACCATGACAATGCAATGTATAATCTTGACACGTTAATCACTAAGCTATATTTCCACGAGTGCCCCTGGATCACAAGGCAGATGTGAATTTCAAAGAGGGTCAAGCATTTTCCCATATCAAAAATCCACTTACAACCTATACAAAAATGATCCTAGAAATAAAGGGTACAATGAATATTAGTAAAAAAAAACAAATCTTCGCAAAAATTAAATGTGAACTCAAGAATTTGTATACATTTATATTTGATATGGAAAAAGCAAATTTATATTCATAAGCATATTATATTATGCAACTTAAATAAGATGAATATTATGAAATAGCATAGTGACCTCAGGATTGTAAAGATAGAACCAATTAAATGATTAGTATATATTATAAAGCTGTTTGACTTTTGTTCATCATGCCCCTCGGAAAATAAAAAAAAATTAAAGACGGCTTGAAGTAAAAGGGGAAAAACACCTAAATCCAAGCGAGACTTTAAACAAACCTGGCCGCCAAGAAAGTAAGCATAAGAAGGACGCAGCTGATCAGTTTGAGCACTATAACTCCACCCAGCCAAGCCATTGGTAGAGCAGATAAATTGTACTCAACACAGCTGCCTTCTGCTGGGCCAATTTTAAGAGAAGACCCACCAGTATTGGATGTGGCATTAATTGCATCCTCTCTCATTCTGGGAAGCTGTGAAGCGACAGGAAGGACACGATACTGACAAGCAAGATCAAGAAGCTGGCCAAAGTAGACTGGAGCAGGTATGTAGGCTAGTGGAAATTTGGAAATCAAGTAGAAATAAATGTGAATATTCATTTAGTATTGAAAAGTTTAAAGCAGCAATTAAATTTAAGTTCTGCCTGCTAGAATCATAGTACATAGTAAAAAGTGATATGATTATAGGAGTTGTCTGACCATGTTTTCGCAACTTGGTCATATTGGTAGGAATAACTAGAGGAAAGCACCTAATTTCCAGAGTCGGACCGTGGACGTAGTACATTCCCAGACGTTTCGCCGGCATCGACAGTAAGCACTGTCATTCTTTGCACCACACTACAACACGTCAGAGGCAAGTGAAGCCGATCGTTTGACCAATTTTCTGCTAAACAATTGTGGTATCTCTCCTTATTCCTTGGGCTATTCACCAATCATATAGCCTCGTATCAACCCTTCACTATTACAATTTCTTAATTGCTTATTTGAATGTGGTAGTGGGCCCCTTTGAAGAGATTTTATGAGAGCTCTCTACACCCGACGCTGGCTTTCTCACCACCTCACCACCGTCCACCCCACCCATGTGCTGGGAATGTTGATTAGAGTCTGCCATATTATTCCGCAATCCTTTTCCCATATATCTTATCAGAATGTCCCTCTTGTCCCGTATAATCCGCCTCCTACTTTACTGGTTCAGGTATTTCACTCGAACTCTGCCATCCTATCTTTATTACTCGAAGCGTTATTTCCCTCACTGTATCAAGCCTTTACTAGAACGCATACTCCCGCCTCGTTAAGTAGGCCCCTAAAAATCAGGATTCTCAAACTGAATGGAAGACTAACTTGAGGCAAAAGAGCCCGAGTAATTCTCGTGGTCAAGCCTCCGCTTTATTGACCACGTCTATGATCAAATACATCTACCTTTAGCCAAATAACTCTAGTCTACACCGCATCGATCGTGCTTTTGTAAAGTGCCAAATCTATGCGTTATTATGCCACAGTCTCTTGTGTGCTAACCTGAAAATGTTAAGATTCTACTTGTTTTGATTAGGTTTAATGTAGAATCACAGTATGTGTAGGTTGGCACACAATAAACAAGGGCATAGGAAGTCATAGACCTGGCGCTATAGATACAGCAGAGATTAGAGCTAGTTGGCAAACAGCAGACGTGTCTGATCATAGACGTGGTACATGAAGCAAGGGCTTTACCATGAGAATTACTCGGGTTCTTTAATCCCAAGTTACTCTCTCATCTAGCTTGCGAATCCTGATTTTTAGGGGCCTACTCAGCGAGATGGGAGTAAGCGGGCCATCAAAGGCTTGAGACGGTGTGGTAAATAATGTTTCGAGTAGTACAGATAAGATATCGGGGGTCGAGTGAAATATCTGAACCAGGAAGGTAGAAGCAGGATCCTACGGAGCAAGAGGGCGAATCTGAAAGGACCTATGGGAAGAGGATTACGGAGTGAGGGGGTGAGAAAGACAGCGTGGGGTGTAGAGAGCCTGATAAAATCCACATACCATATCACATTTAAATAAACAATAAAAAATTGCTAAGAATAACAAGGCTCGGTGACGATGCCGGCGAAACGTCTAGTAATGTACCACGTCCATGGTCCGACTGAAAATTATCATGCATACTATAGACTCTCGACTAGGCCTGTAAGTCTAAATGACAATATGACCAAGTTGCGAAAACAAAGTCAAACGACTTCTAAACAACGAAAGGAGACTGCTACCATACAAAAGGCCGCACCGTCTTGGTCTTCATACCTTCAATATGATTATTATTGTAAGAGAACCTTAAAAATATTCAAGCATTCAAAATCACCGCGTCTCAATAACTTTATTTTATATGTAGGGTTTTGAAACCTCAATAACTAGTCAGTGAAAGCACGGAAATTATTGTAATTGATTGCATTTTAGTATACCGTGATCAAATCAGTTAATTTTATATCCAATTCACTAAAAAATAAATTAGTGATTTCCCTTCATTCCTGATCAAATTGTTCCATTCGATTGAGGACATATAATGTTTTTTAATTTATATATCATGTAAATTAAAGATAAGTCCAGAGCTCAGCCATCTTTATTATGTAAGGCTTGTATCACCTGCTAGTATCAGCTAATTAATTCAATCATGACTGACTTCCTTTCAGTTAACATGGATATAATTTACCACCTTAACAGAGTTAGTAACCTCTAATAGAATCGCTGGCATTTAGCTAAATTAATTATAAGCCAAATATCGATAAAGTGTTCTCACTACCAGAAATTTATAAGCATGTAAAAATACAATTCAGTTTAGATGGTTGAATTCTAGGGCCTTATATCATATCACTCATTTGTAACTACTACTTGTAGGGTGAAAATATATCGTGTCGAATTAACAAGTGATGATGTCCTGCGAAGCAATATCTCCTTCGGGACCTATAAAGCAACTATTTTTTGTAGTAGATAGTGATATTAGAATTATTAATAAGATAAATGTTTAGAGAGTATTGAGTAAAATGCTGCCCAAAGACAAACCGACAACAAGTGATGCTGCACTTATGACGTTGTCAACGAAATGATGACGCTTAAAAATGTCTTTCAAAGGCAGAATCATCTATTAGAATATTTTAAGTAGATATGAAATAAGAGCTGTATTTCAAAGAAAATCATGGCTTAATATTATTTAGCTAACCTTCAAATCGAGAAAAAGTAGGATGAATAGATTCGAAGGTCGGCCCCATCTGAAAACGATGGCGGATTCTTAATGGTCATTGTGCTAGTGAGACTTTCTGGCTAACACTGTCTCCGAATCAATCTCTCTTTTGATCTCAGTAAAGAGGTGATAAGTCTTCATCCGTTACATCAGACATATTATTGCGTATGCATGCTTGTTTGAGCTTACGTACATTCGTGTACGAAAAGGATAGAAACCAACAGTGATAATTTTGATCAGTAAAAAATCCTAACCTCTATTATTGTTCATCAAGGCTTAATTATATCATTGTTCCGGTACTATGTGACTCGAAAGTCTTTGGAGACAAGTCTATTAATTAATTATAAACAGTTGCTACTAATATTTTTGACTGTATTCAGGACACACAATTTATTGCCAATTTAGCCAAAATAACCCAGGTAGGAATGACATAAATTGGTAATGAATTAGAAAGGTCTTACACATGTTTATTGGCGATTAATAAATGCTTGCAACTAAACGCAAAAAAATAATAAAAGGCCATCACAAACAATAGATAAGGCAGCATACATACAGAATATACAATCATATGCTTCTCGATTGGCATATGACATAAGCTTACCTAATCATACTGCATCTCAATAAAATGTATAGGTTTGTAAAGTATCTACAGCATGTAGGGATAATTTGAATTAGATATAAGGAAACACTGCTCAGAATATGTCTGTCATATAATAGATTAAGGCTAAGCACGTTTTCATAGTTGTCGAAAAAGTTGACTGGGAGACAGCCTCACACAGAATTTTCCAGTATACTCAAACGACAGATGACCAAGAAGAATACACTGTAGTTTTTTTGATAAAGTCGAAATTCGACTCTGTTCTATACACACTCGCAGTTGAAATGGAAGAGAGTTA